GATTATATCTTTAAAGACTCAGGGTACAAAAATAGTACAACACAAAAGGAAGAAAAAACATCCCGCACTTCAGAATGTAAGACGAGAATGTAAACCAACATAATGAAGGAAATGTTGTGGACAGCTTTAAGACTGCAGCATACCGTCTGGGTTTCCCATCAGTCTCCTGATTGTTCCCCATTCTACCGTGTTAACTTCCTTGTTTTCAGGTTTGGGAAAGACTCCTTTAGACACAGGCAGAACTCATTGTCCCCTCAAAGAGAGGTCTGAAAAAGAAATGGATTTTTCAGAGGAAACACACAACACAGTTAAAATTAAAATGGTTTATTCAAAACATTGATTTGTAAAGATCTGATGAAATTGCCACTCTGTTACAGCTGACCCTTCAAATTCTGTTCTGTTATTGCACAGTCTAAAAAACACTTTAAAACATTCCTCAATTGATCTTTTCTGTCATCAAAATGAATTGATTTCTGAAGAAAGGTGAAAGTGAGACTTTACTTGTCAATATTGGAAAGAACCATTCGTAGATGCACCATTTGTGAGCTTTGGGTAGTTTAAGGAGATTTCTCAATCTCAGCCCTATTTTCTGGGACGCCTTCTTATCCGGTGTCATCACGTTTGAAATTTCTGCAAGAAAAAAAACAGTGAAAACCCCAGTCATTCATGATACTAGTATTGTACACATGAATGTTTGATGAAATTATTACATGAAAGAAAAACTAGAAATGCCTTTAATGGATATACCAGACAAAATCTCATTCAATGTCATTCCCCAAAATGTTTCCCTCAGGGACACATCCATAACTACTCCATTTTCACAAGGCTTGCCAAGTTTACCCTCTCTTGCTTTGCCGCTCCTGTTTAACAAATAAGAGGCAGCAGGAGTTGAGTTCTCTGCAATACCACAATCTGCTACTGTTATCAAACAACGTAATAGCACAATTGTTTTTGGATACACTCTATGCACTTATTTCTCTTTTAAAAGCTCCATAAATGCAACACATTAAAAGCTTACTGCATTCATATTTTTAATTGCGTTGATCGTGTGCCACTTTGTCCCATTAGGCACACCGCAGCTAAGCCACCGCACTGACAGCAACATCTCCCTCTAGTCACAGTGATGGAAAAGAACAAATCTACCAAACATTTCACTTCTCTTCAGCCATTTTCATTTACTTTCCAATCAGTAACAAGTTCCTTCTTTTCTGTGGTTGAGTTAATGTTATAACCATTGAAGGTACATATAAACAGACAAAGCCTGAGTGACGTCACCATCTGTTACTGCAGGGGGCTTTCAAAGACTTGAAATGAAGTCTCACCCTTACTTTCAGTCAATCTAACGACAAGTTAAGATGGAGTGGGTTTTAAGTCTCCTGACAAACCGCTACAACGTGCCCGCCTTTCAATTAGGTCGCTACGCACCTTTTGTGACTAACATTTTTCCTCATACAATCAAAACAGATGAGTTATCAAAAAACTCATCCCCCATATACTTATTTTTTTGCAAATAGAGACATGAGCTAACCAGACCAAAACAAATGGGGTTAATGGCGATCAAGCATTGAATTTCACCGATTAATTTTAAAATAATAATAATGATTGGCAGCTCAAGCTTTCACCTGTGGTGTGGTGGAGACCCTCTGGCTCCTCCGAGGGGACCTGGAAGGGACACGTTGCTGGGGTTGCTCATCCTCCTCCCGAAACAAGCGGCTCCTCTTCGAGCTCCGTGTGGGCTGCAAGGACAAAATAGGAAAGGTAGATTTTTATGAGATCATGTGCAGACCAGTTGCAGGTGTACTAGATCGTCCCCTCAAAACTGCATTTTCACATCACACTTGCATGCAATAATAATACTAAACTGAATAAAGCATTCAAATAAAATGATCCATTAAGTTTATTGCAAAGAGACAATGAGCCAAGTGACCACACAATCAACATCAACTTAACCACGTCCTTATCAAACAGGAGCGCTTTAATTGCTGACAATGTAAATAAAGAGTTAACCTTCTTTCATTCATCAAGCTCATCTGTATGTCTATTTGGTTCTACGTTTTTGTGTTATTAGGCTATATTTACATTTTTAACTTTACTCTGTGGAAGCTAGACACTAAGAGATGAACATGAGATTAAATGGTGTTGAACGTTATTGTACAAATTGACTTACTATAAAGTCAATGTCTTAAAGCTAAGCACTTATAATGCTGATAGAAGGGAGCTTTGTGTGTGTAGCTCTTACCGTGTCCATTGTGAGGGAGAATGCCTTCCCCGGGTGTTGTGAGCTCTTGGAAAGTTGTTCTTTTCATTCAGAGTGTTGGACAAACTCCCCTCTGTAAAACAAAACAAATATGTTTTATTTGGAATTGTCTAAGGACACCTTATGAAAGTCCTTAGGGGGACCTAGTCATTATCAAATACCCAGAGCTGCAATCAAACTTAAAACTCCTTTCAAATCATCAAAGATGAAACTTAATTTTAACCCTATATCTATAAATGTAAGGTGAAGTAAACATCAGAGATGCTTTGCCACAAGCTGCAACTGTAAGAACTACACTAACTATGGTGATACAGATCTTCTTCCGAGATGGTATTTCTAGGAGCATCCACGTTGTTGTAACCCTTCTGCATCGTCAGCAGGGATATCTCAGGGTCTCAGGTGGTTTCGCCCCTTAACCTGAACACCTCGCCTGAGTGGGGGCAGCGAAGACTGACTAGCCTTCACCTGCAGAAGGGTTCCCAACTGTGGAACGGCTCTCTTCAGCCACGGCTCTTGAGCTGGACTCGGCTGCTGCAGCTATGTCCCTGCATGAAACTTTAAGCGTATCGATAAAGTGTGCAAGCCCAATCCAATCAATGACTTAATGCTCCTGAGCACTTCCAATCAGGAAAAACTAATGTATAAGCTAGGGAACAGACAGCAGAATCTGAAACAGGATCGTCTTCATTAATCGACAAAGTGATTTTGGGCCAGAAATTGAGACTTCACTCTCCGGCAATCTTAGACGTACTCAGACACAGTGCCAAGAACAAATGTACAGAAACATAAGACAGCTAAAAAAAAAAATACTGCCCACATACCTTTTAGACTGACAAGTGCCTCTGCTGAGGAGCCTGAAAAAGACAAATATGACACCAATCAACAATAACACTCAATCAGGCATCAAAAAACACATTAAATGCAGAACATCTCACACATAAAACAAGATCACAATCCTCTTCTGATTAAGGGACTTTAATTCATTTAGTGCTATCATAGAAACAGCACGTACACGTCTATAGCAGAGTCCTTTAAACCATGTCAGTATCCATGGTGGTGAAGTTGGACAAAGCTTACGCAGAGCCAGTTAGGCCTTAAACCCCCCCCCCCCAAAAAAAAACTGAGCTGTCAAACACAAACAACACCTGGAAGAGTGAATTCAACCAAATGATACTTACTGTGTCATAAAACACACACACACACGTATCGACAGAGAAGGCTGTTTCTAGATGTTGATTATTACGTGTGATCGCTGTACTTTCTCACTGAACAGCTTGTCAGAATGAACAACAACGCGTTACCATGTGAACCAGCGCTAACGGGCGTTAAAATGTACAAAAGAAAAAAGTGACACAGAAACAAAACACGGAGTGTAAACACACGGAGATAACACGACGACACAATGTGAGTCATTCCCACCAGTTATTTTGTTTCTCACTGCTTGCGATTGTGATGCTAGCAGGCGTTAGCACACAGCTAAGCTAACGTTATTTGTTTACCCAGTTCGGCTAAAGTAACTTGCTCAACTCCAACATTAGCCATGGTTAGCCGCCGCTGCTAACAAGCGTTAGCTCCACTTGCACAGACCGGCGTCTCCCTTTTCGTCCAATGACCACTTTTATTAACTCAGCCCTGGACGTGTGGTGCTCGCTGCGTGTGTTCAGTTATAGCAGTTAACACAAACTATGTCTTTTACTTGAAAAGGGACGGTTTCCGTGTTTACAGTGTGAAAAAAACTCCTTGAATATATATATATTTTTTGTTGTTACTCACTCTCGTCTAACAGCTGGTCCATCTCCGCCATCTTGAATTAGCCGCGCCGCTTTTTCAAAGACCTTGTCAAAATGCATTCTGGGTCGGGACGCTGTCTAAAGGGGCGATTTGAGAAATTAAACAAAAAAAATAGGTTTAACTTAGCGACACTCGCTTTGTTTTATAGACGTGAACACGTTATTATTGTCCGCGCTCTCAAAAAATAAATCCAACTCAAAGTTCAAATTGTTGCGGAAGATGCCCGAAAACCTGTTAAATATACAATATAGGAAACGTGAATGGACTTCATACACCCCCAACTAATGTTTAAATGTTTTTGTCTTCTTTTTTTTTTTTTATTAACATTTTTATGACATCACAATACAAACAGGAGTGAAACCCCACAACCCAATTTTTTGTCTTCTAATGACAAAAACATGCGGAGAGGTCATTCAATATCGAGACCGTCCTCCAGGTACAAAGTGTTAAATCTTTTGAATCTGCATCTGTCAAAAATATTTCTATTTGCAGATAAGTTTTCTCATCGTCAAACAAAACAAATTAAGGATATTTCTAGCTTCTTGGTAAATGGACTTGAGCTTATAGCATTTTTCTAATCTTCTGACTACTCAAAGTGCTTTTACACACTGATGGTAGTAATTGCTATGTACTATCATCCATCAGAAGTAACTAATTCTTTCATTCATACACCACTAGCAATTCAGGGTTAATAGTCTTGCCCAAGGTCATATCAGACATGTTGCCCAGCTGGGGATTGAACCCCTGACCTTCTGGTTGAGAGGTGATGACTCTACCAACTGAGCCCACAGCTGCCTCTCTTGGTAGGAGAACCTGACCTGCAACCAGCCCAAAATAATATATGTATCACATTATATTGACATCTTGACATGTTCCTACAGTGAAATTATACCTGAACTGAAATTTGGATAGATCATACAGTGAAATAAAAAAAAAACACTAAGGCAGGATATTTTAGAACTTTCAATGTTTTGTTTTATTTTCAGGTAAGCGAGAAAAGCACTAAGAAAAAGTGTGCCACAGAGCATGGCAGTTGTTTTCTTTTCCAGAATACTTTGCATAAACACAACCACATTGCTATCTTTTCCGTTATCGGCAAGGAAGACAGTTTTTTGACAAACAAAACAAATATATACATGTCAAACCTTGTACAGTATCTTTGAAACACAAGACTACAAAATGTTCATATAAGCAGCTATTTCACTGAGAAACCCCTTGCAAGATGTGGTGCTATGCCTTATTAACTACAAGTTTAATATAGAATGAAGATTACCACGTCAGACAGAAAACTACTAACTTTTACTGATGTTTATTACTAAACCCAACTCTATGTGGTATGCACCATGCTTTCACCACCACAGAACTGTTTTATGAGCATCTCTGAAATAGGTATTTAGGTACCTAATGTGTTACTAAGAAAGGCTGCCAGCTAGTTAACCTGATGAAAAAGCAATAAAGTGACTAGAGATTTCCAATGACCACTGTGACACGTGGTGAAGCGTCGCTCCTTTGCCAAACATCTTGTTTTGCAGAGAATGAAGCCCAGGCGTTTTGGAGGCAACTCTGGTCTTCGATTTCCGTGGTGAAGGATTAGTAATGGCCCTCTCACCACAGGGACGTCTGGTAGTTAAACTTGATCTTCAGGAGATACTTCATGTTTATCTGCGCTACATCATACACAATGTATCTGGAGGAGTAACAGTTAAGGACATTAACTTTCATTATACAAACACAATGACTTACACAGTTGAAAAAGAGGAACATTTACATAAAGTAGAGCCATAAAAGATTACACGGGTAATCATGGAGAGATCATGGATTGATGCTATATTTGAATAATTTCTACATGAGAAACACCAAACAACAGTTTAAACACCAGATATGATTAATTCCTGTCTTAAAATAATCATTATACTGATACCAACAGTCTAAGTCAGTGATTTGTGTGTGCAAATGCCACAAAAGCTTATTTAAGTGTGTGTGAAACCGAGCTGGTGGCTCAGAGTGCTCTACATTCTGATCGGAAAGTTACAAAATAACTTTTCTCATGTAATAATATAAGTACTAAGAATTGTTCCTCATATACCAACAGTCATGCAATGCTTTAATAACTAGTTCTCCAACTTTGGTCTAAAATCAGGCAAAATTCCATGTTGTGAAAACTTTGTAAAATAGTGAAATCAAAGTTATTTCATTAATTGACAAACATACAATGTACAGATTTAAAAATGTGGCATCATTTGTAAAAAGGATCAAAGTTATGAACCAGGTGGTCAGTGTAAAAGGATACTCGTTGTACAGTAGACTGGTGTCATCAATGTTAGTGTGGGCTCCTTTTCCAATTGGCACTTGCACCCCATCTAAAGTGACTGAGGCACTGGGATCAGGAGCAGTCCTACCCACACCTGCAAGATTAAGGGAAGTTATTTAATGACAGTTTGCAGCAGGACACAAAGAAATCTTTTAGTTTTAGTTTATTTTTTAATGAACAAAGGGCGCTTGTGTTTCCAAATGCCCCACCACATTGATGAGTGAGTATTTAAATCAACAAAATATTCAAATATTTCCCCAGCAGTCAGTAAATGAAACGATTGGGCCGGTTCATAAATGCCAGCTGCCAGTACATGTTCTACCAGTCAGCCCTAAATTGCTTTGAGACAGTTTATAAACATAATGCGACCGCTATAACATTCTGAAATGAAAAGCAATATACACAAAAAAAAGATCCATTGAACTAAAAATAAAAGAAAGTCAAAATAAGATAAAGTTTTCTCACCTTTAACACTGTGCTTGCCCTTGGGTAATTTTGTGATGTGGGAGGCTTTCTTCAATTCATGCCTGCATTAGAATAAGGAAGAAACTGTTATGGACACTCATCACATATCGTTGAAGCTTACCAAACAGTTGATGTATGACCTTTCATCTGAAAGAACTAAGCCTGTTACTTACATGTTGCCGAGAGCAACCTCAGCCAGCAGTAAGAGGCCAACAGGATCTGACTGAGAGGTGTGACAGTAGTTTGCACTCTTGGACACCATGTCGGCAAAGTACACACCTTTTCCAAACATGTAACCAGTCTGAAGGAAACAAAGCAGATCAGCAATGAAAAGGAGATACGACATCTATAATAATTACAGAATATACTGGAGTCATTAGATTGTTGCATAAATGTCAGGGGTGCAAACTGATCAGGGATGAAAAAGGTGACATGGATCCAAACTCCCTAGGGGGGTCCGGGGATATTTTTTTTTAAATATCAGCTTTAAAATGTGAATTTACAGACGATTTTAACATTCAGACCGACTAAAGAAGCAGTGCAAACAATAAGAAAAACACAATTGCTTGTCGATATCTATGTTCCGTTTTAACTTTTTGATAAAGTTTCAGTGATACATGAAGAACACATGCTCCCAACCTTCAGTCCCTTTTTATAAATGGGATGAATTTGCAGAACAGGGCTTACCATGTTCTACTAAGGGATGATGTGAAGGGCAGACTCTTTCCAAGCTTGCACACATTTTTCTCAAACGGTAAATATGATCAGACAGGATGTTTAACAGAAAGGCTGGCTTGCTAGCCAGACTTCAAATCTTCCCACAGTGTTTTCAGGGAAAAATAACATTATATAAATTAGCCATGTGCTGCACATTGACTCATTGAATCAGGTTTCACGCTTCTTACGGTCGGTGCAGCGTTATTGCGCAATCGCGAGAATGGTCCGCAGGCGCGGAGGGTCTGAGCTTCAGCCGCGCACCTCCGAGATTTTTGTAGCAACGCGGACGAGTTCGTGCCGACCGCGTTGCAATGATTGGCTGCAGGGCCCGGAAGTACTTTCTTCAGGCCGTGTTGAGCAATCAGAAACGACTTGACGTTCAAGGGGCCGTGCTCGCTGGCCGCAAGAAGCATGACAGCTCGCGTCGCAGATTTACCCCCACCCTCCAAATATTTTTATTGCAGATCTAAATGAATCACACAAATGACCTAATTGGGATCCAAAACGGCGAATTTCTCCGAAAGGTGAAAAGTTTGCACCCCTGAAATGTGGCGTAGCTAGAGGTTCCTAACAATTATGAACTCAGTAAAAAAAACAAAAACTCACCACTGGCGCCTCTGGAGGGGCAATACGCAGACCCTGAGACAAGATACCGGCGTAGTTTGTGGTGCGGGAGCCGTGCCACAGCAGTTGGCGATTGTGTAGCTCCTCGAACGGACGATAGCGCTGATGCTCTCCCTCTCTGACAATTTTAAAGATCTAAAAGATAGGGACAGTAACAGTGAAGATGGTAATTCATGCTGGAAAATAGAGTTACACCAGAGAGTGGATATGACGTCTGTGTAAAGAAATGACTCACCTCTTGCACTTCCAGTGTGTAAGTGTTGTGTGTAGCAGCGTGAGTGTTCTTAACATATTGAATAATGATCTCAGCCTCACGAGTAGTCTTGTCAACAACCTGTTAAAAAAACAAATGATATCAAACCAAAAAGAGAGAAATACATCATCTTTGACACAGCACATCCCTGTAGAAACACAGTGACACTCCTCACCTCAATCTTGGTTTTGAGTTTCTCGTAGTTGATGTCGATGGGATCGCTCTCGTTGTCCTGTGCTCCTCCTCTCAGCAGGCTGTACGCCAC